GATTTCCCTCATTTCTGAATTCAACACCAATTTAGGAACTCTAGTTGTCTGCGCTCAGACCAAAATTCTCTTCAGACGTTTGTCTGATAACTGGAAGTGACAAAGCTTGAATGTTAAATTACTTTTTAATTCAGTACTTTAATATTCTGAAAGGGCAAAGCAAACTAGTAATGTATGCCAGGTAAAAATAAGACCCAATGGGTTTAGCAAAATGTACTCTGCAACTGTATTGTCTGTTTGAGTCAAGAGGTAAAACAATGCTTCCCCTAGCACTAGACTACAGAAGAACAAGAATCTTTACATGTTTCATCAGTACAGAAACAATCAGTACCAATTAGCATTATAACGGCAAATTGCATTCAGTATTCTGTATGGCAGACATAATAGAACGTAACTATACTGCTCTGTCGAACATGATCGATCAATTTTATGTTTAAATTACAATCAGTTTATGATAACAGTAAGCCCGTAAATTTTCAAATCTCTCATCTTCACATATAAAGAGCTCTTTTTAAGGTCTTGTGCTGTAATAGCAAGCCTCTTCACCAGCCAATTTTAATCTCAGGTACCCAGGGAATTTAGAAAGCAACTTCCTTTATTATATAAACTCTGTTTATCACAGATTTAATTTAATTTCGTCTGCCCTGTTGGGTACACATCGGGGAACTCCCACTCCCACGTCTTCAATCAATCACTCTGTCTTTCTCTGCCTCGTGTGTTGCTGTTATTTATTACTTGTCAAGTGCTAACAGCATGTACTGTACAAGACACAAATATCCAATCCACCGCATGCCTGAGAGCTTACAGTCTTGACGACAGACATACAGTAGCAAACGAGCATTGCTGAGAGACTCGGGGTAAGAGCAACCTTTGATATTTGTTCCCCTTTTCTTGCACAGGCCATTCATTATTTAACACGTCTGTGCTCTTGTCTCCTTCCCAGGCATCTCCCCAAGACAGAAGAGCCCCCTCAATGCAAAGCAGCCATCAGTTTGCAGAGGACTCTTGTATCCCTAGTTGGTTTTACACAGTTACTGCTGGTGTGTCGTAGTGCAAGGAAGGTCATGTTTAATGGACGATTATATGGCTTATCAAAGCTAGGTGTGGGTCAAAGCAAGATCCAAACGGTTTGTCAGAAAGACTAGATGCGATGGGATGCAATCTTCATGCACATGGCAGAACTAGGCCCAGAAGGAACAGCTGCCGCTGATTCATAAATTGCAGGCTTCAGACATTTGCAAGTTAAAGCCCATGTGTGTGCATGTGTTTGGGGGGGGGGGGGGGGGG